TTTCCCTGTGTACATATACTAACTCAAGGCATGGTTTTGGGACTAGAAGACCAATACTCTTTGGTTGTGTCTGGAGCTAGTGCATGAGGCTGTGAAACCTGGGGATGTGCATGTCTCAAGTGCACGCACCTACTATGTGCAGATCACATGTTGAAATGAGGCCAGGATTGCTCCCAGGTTTGGTCAGGGTGAAGTTCAGGTGACTGAGACAGCTGTTCACAGCATCCAAGCAATGAAATCTTTTTTTCTTAATTTGTTGTCTCAAATTATACTCATATCCAGGCTGAATTCTCTCTTCATTCACAGCCATGCACTCCAGTTCATTGGGAGCTGCTGGCTGTGCGCTCTGCTCTGGGTGAACACATCGGAACTTGCTTCCTCATCCTCCTAGCCGCTCTTCAGAGCACAGAATCAGAAAGTCCCAGGGTGCTTATCTAGTGCTCAGTAATATGTATCTTCCACGTTAGTAATTAAAACAAAGGTGGTCACAGACACCTGCTTATCTTGTTGTCTGTCGTTGCAAAGCTGAAATGTCATAGAGACTGAAAACCTATTTTTACAGCCAACTTGATGCATGTAGCTTACCAAGAAAAAGTAACAAAGGAAAAGAAAAAGTGGTAAATTATATATCTGAAGGAATAATGAACATAAAATGAAAATTAAAGCATTCCAGGATAACACAAGGTAGATGGGGTGGTAAAGAGTACAAAATACTAGGGAAATTTTTGAAAATATAAATATTTCCTAGGTGAAATAAAATGGAAATGTTAAGCTTTTTGAAGACCAATGGTGTATTTTTAAAGAGATTCTTAAGGCTTTTCCAGTGGACTCTTACATGTAGCTGACAGTACAGGGAACTGACGATGGCCGTAGACAATTCATTACGGTTCATGCCCTGGGAGGGGTGGGAGAAGGAGGCAATGCGGCCTGGGGGCAAATGCACCGGAGAGGACACATGCTGAGGGTGGCAAACCTGTGTCCCTGAGACCCATGTCCACTTAGAGCTAAGCCAGTGGACACGTGCAGATTCTCCACTCTCCCCTCAGTTGCGGACTTTGTGAAGATGCTTTGTCAACTCTCAGTTCTCTCTAAACACATGGGGATATCAGTCAACAGTGGGTTTCACCTGAAGTCTGAATTAATATGCAGTAGATGCAAACCAAGAAATGACTTACCTAAATCTCTTAATATAGTGAGCTTTTTGTTTCATTATGTTTTTGTTTCGTTTTTGCTATATGTGCTTGATGGAGAGAGAGAGCTCACAAAAGTGAAAAATCATCCCCCAGGGGGGATGGCCATGCCACAGTCCCTTCTCCTCCACTCTCCTGTAGGGATGCTGAGCGAGCATGCACATGCACCTGGCATTTATTTCCAGCTGCCAGGTCTGAGACTTGAATCGTACAGTCAGCCATGTAGGATACAGCTGCCTTAACCACCACACCACTGGCTGGCCCTCTGTAGTAAGCATCATTCAATAACTATTTTATATAAATGCATGAGAGATTTATATTTAGAAGCAGTGTAGTTTATGTAGCATTAATCTACATAACAATAGCATCTCTCTCTCTCTCTTTTTTTTTTTCCTGGAAACTCCTGATATAGTAGTTCCCATTTATTCATTGGGAATTTGTTCCAAGATATTTAGTGAATGTCTGAAACTGAAGATAGTTTGGAACCCTGTATGTGTTACGTTTTATTTTCTACACATGCATATTTTCAATAAAGTTTAACTCACAAATTATGCACAGTAAGAGATTAACAGCAATAATTAATAATAAAGTAGAGCAATTACAACAATATACTGGCACCGCTGCTCTTGCACCTTGGAACCATTATTGAGGGAAATAAGGGTTACCTGAAGACTGCTCTGTGCACTTCTGCAGTTGATCTGATGAGCAAGATGGCTGCTCAGTGGGTAACAGGTGGGTGGCATATACAACACGGATACACTAGACAAAGGGACGATTCATGTCCCAGGAGGGACAGAACAGAACAGCTCAAGATCTTATCACATTACTCAGAATGATAAAATTTAAAACTCTTATGAATTGTTTATTTTGAGAATTTTCCATTCAATATTTTCAGGTCTTGTATGAGTGGGGCTAACGAAACAGTCGATAAGTGAGGAGTGGACTGTTCACTGTTAGCTAGGTCATTGCAAGTAGAGCTATTCTGGTCTCCAGAACTCTCCTTAGAGTTATGACTTCTAGTGCAAAGGCTCCTGATAGCCTGAGCCAAAAGAATCTTTCCTAAAATAGAGTTGATGTTTTCAAGTTTGAAACAATGAGAGACTGTGTGCATGTTGCTGGTGGGGAAGCCTTCTCAGGGCTGGGTAAATGGCCCCAGCTGAGAAGTCTATCAGGAAGTCCAGTGAGACTTTCAGCAGAGTTGAAAGACTTCCACCACGTCACAGGCTAGGAACACATTTCAGATACCTGGGAAAATGTAGAAACTGATTTCTCACCCACCTTCCAGCAAAGCTTATTGATATACAAGTTTCCCTTGAAAGGAATGGGAAATAAGGACAGATTTTTAAAATAGGTTTACAAGCTGATACTGACTTTCATTGCTTCTTCAAGAACCTCAAGGCACCAAAACAGTTAAGGGATTTTAAAAAGTTACTACTTTCCATATCAAACATGAACGTCCATATTCACATGCTGTACTGACTCTTGAGAGGAGGAAGCATGATGGAAAGTCCTCACGTTCACAAGGGTGTCTTTTACACTGAAAGTCATTGCTTCTCTTTGTGGCAGTAAATACCGTTGGTCTTTGAGTTGCCACAACATACTTACATATGTTTAACTCTAAATGTTAGTGTCTAATTGGGAACCACATTCACAACTGAGAGTATTTATTAGCATCATCAGTATTATGGGCTGGTTTCCTTCCATGGGAAGCAAAAAGAGAGATGGTAGCTTGGAAGGTACTGATGTGCTCCTCAAGGGAGCAGTGCAGTTGGCCCGCATTGCTGTCGGCCCGCATTGCTGTTAAGTGATTCCCTTTGATGAATAGCATTTCGGAAGAATTAGGCCAGAAAGCCCAGAGCCTACTGGTCCTACTGCCTGAGCTTAATGAGAAGGGCACTTGATTTCTTTGAACTTTAACTTCTTTCTCTTGAAAGTACTTCTGTTGTTGTTGTTCTGGCTAATGATGGCCGTCTTCTCCAGTTCCAAGCCATTTTATGGTTGGATGTACAAATCCAATGTGTGGGCACTTATTAGCGTGGTTCTTCTCCAGTTGCTTCGAAAGGGCAGATTCTGTGCAGATCTTTTGAAAATATATCATTTGATTTGTAATGTTACCCAATTTAAAATACAGTCATCACACTTGTGAGTTTTAAAGTCAATATTAATTTTAAAGTGATATTGTATTTTTAAACCTATTGAGTATCCACTGAATTCCCTCAGGAAATGATACGACAAAATGATATGCACCCTTACTAAGACTTCTCCTGGATGATTATTTACTTTGACACGAGACAAAGTGATATATGTGGCTTTCCTTCATGTTTGGAATTTGCTTTTCCAAGTGACCTATTTCAGTAATTAGCCTTGGGTCTAAAATTTGCAGAATAGAATTTCCTAATCTTTAAATGATTCCAAGGGGCCGGTATGTGCTGTGGTGGTTAACGCGCCGGGATCCCACGTGGGTAACTGGGGTTTGAGTCCCAGGCCTGGCAGCTTGAAAAGCATGCCCTGGCACATGTGTGCCAAAATCCCAGGAGGGAATGGAGAAGGGATTGCAGCATGGTCATCCTCTTTGGGGGTGTTTTCTCACTTTCTCTCTCACTGTCTCTCTCTCTGGCAAGCACATGACCCTATGGCAAAAACCTAGAATGAATGAATGAGTGAATGCAGTATGAAGACAGTGTGACCGTTTGGTTTGAGAAGCCCCTATTCTCATTACATTCAGATTTTTAATTGTCTTTAAAAACCTGGTATTTGGGGACCAGCAGATGGCATAATGGTTATGTCACTGGACTCCCATGTAGTCAACTGTGGTTTGAGTACCAGAACAGGTGGCTTAAACCTCATGCCAGGCACACATGAATGTGTGCTCAAAATCCCAAGAGGAGACTGGGATCATGGCATGGCCATCCCCTCAGGATGGGTGTGTGTGGGGGGTTATTTCTTGCTTTCTGCCTCTCCCTTTTTCTCCATTGAGCACACACACCCTAGAGTAAAAATATCTCTCTCAAAACAAAAACAAAAACTAACATGGTCTTTTACATAACCTATAGTTATTTTTATGTAAGTCTTCACAACTTTTTAAATGTTTATAAAAAAGCTATCTGTTCTGATACTCTGTTTCCAATGGAAGCTCTGTCTTAGGCATAGCGAATACTGCA